AAATCCAACAACAATAATAATATACATAATTGTCATCTATTGAAACGTTTATTGATTTCTAATCAACGCCACCATCATCAGAAAATTCCGCTGTTGTTTCTTTTTTTCTTTCCTCACTGGATCCCATCCGTTTTTTTCTTTAATTTCGCCTGATCATGTAAGTAGTGGTTTTTACCGTAATACCTACATATTGCAATAGTTTATATCTGTTTCTACGTATGTACTTGTATTGTTTAACAAATATATTTGAATTATGATAAGGAAATCTATTAAGTTACAACAGTCTCTGGACATCGTCCATCATTAAAACCGGTTAACATACAATGTTTTAAATAAATTGTAAAATACATATTAACAATAAAAAATATTTCCTTATGATTTTATGAGATTTTAATATTAATTAAGAGGAAATTTTTAAACGCTTCAGCATTAACTATAACTATAACTTTATAAAGTTTGATTCTGAACACTAATTCTTTAAGAAGTATTCGCATGTTTTAGAACCATAAGTTTGAAGGGAAACTTAGAAAATCCTAATCGAAACGACCGACGGACGCTCTAAACTTAATATATTATGAAAAAATATTGTAACTACATTTTTCGTAATATTTACGAAAGTTTCGTATATAATATGTAATTGTATTTAATCAAATACAAAATAAAGAAAGTACGTAAAATTCTACACTAGAATTGTCTACACAAAGGCAACGAACTTAAAAGCTTTCATGACCAAACGTTATCCTTCCCTTTCTACTCCTATGAACCTTGTAAGGTTAAGGTGGTTGGTAGCAGTGTCAATAATCTGAATGGCTAATCAGTGGTTAAAGAAGATTAGTCGTTAACAAGGGAGCTGTGCTACGGTGCTACGACACAGGCCGTTTATAATGTCCTAATTTAGTCCATGTACGCCGCCACTGCATGGATCGTACTTTTTATTTCCCCCAACTATCCCATTCCCCACTTGTAAGGTTAAGGTGGTTGGTAACAGTGCCGATAACCTGAATAGCTAATCAGTGGTTAAAGAGGATTAGTCGTTAACAGCTCCCCTCCATTTACGCCGCCACTGCATGGATCGTACTTCGTACTTCGTGGGACCAAGCTATTTCACTTTAAAGTACATAGTTTTCTAAAGCAGACTTTGTATTCAACCCCAACTATCCCATCCCCCACTTGTAAGGTTAAGGTGGTTGGTAGCCGTGCCAATAACCTGAATGGCTAATCAAGGATTAAAGAAGATTAGTCGTTAATAGCTCCCCTCCGATGCTAAGACACGGGCCGTTTGTAATATTCTAGTCTAGTCCATGTACGCCGTCACTGCATGGAGCGTACTTCCCATTATGCGCCTACTCGTGGGACCAAGATAATTCACTTTATATTACATAATTTTCTGAAGGGGACTTTGTATGGGGGCCTAGGGTCAAATGAGGACCGATTACGAAAACCGGTAGCATATTTAAACTTATATAAAACCAAGATTTGCCGAATTTTGTATAGATTCTATAACATTTAACATAATTATAAACTTAAAATTCCTATCGAGGGGTACAGTTGTATTTGGACTAGATCGATTTCTACTATTTTCAATAGCTTTCGCCCTTGAGTCAAGAGTAGAGTATGTGGCAAATTTTATAAAATTATCTTGAAAATTGCGAACTGTTGCGTGCACATAAGGTGTACATAGACAAACAGACGGACGGACGGAAGGACAGACGGATATAGCTTAATCGACTCAGAAAGTGATTCTAAACCGACTGGTATGGGTGTAGCACCCATATTTTTGAGTGTTACAAACATCAGCACAAATTTCAACACATTTTTTATAAATTTACATTTACAAAAGGTTTACATAGACACACAGACGGACAGACAGACGGATGTAGCTTAATCGACTCAGAAAGTGAATCTGAACCGACTGGTATACTTTAAGATGGATGTAGGACACATATTTTTGGGTGTTACAAACATCAGCACAAATTTCAACACATTTTTTATAAATTTACGTTTACACAAGGTTTACATAGACACACAGACGGACAGACAGACGGATGTAGCTTAATCGACTCAGAGAGTGAATCTGAACCGACTGGTATACTTTAAGGTGGGTGTAGGACACATATTTTTGGGTGTTACAAACATCAGCACAAATTTCAACACATTTCTTATAAATTTACATTAACACAAGGTTTACATGAACAGACAGACGGACGGATGGACAGACGGATATAGATTAATCGACTCAGAAAGTTATTCTGAACCGACTGGTTTGCTTGAAGGTGAGTGTAGGACCCATATTTTTGAGTGTTACAAACATCAGCACAAATTTCAACACATTTTTTATAAATTTACATTTACACAAGGTTTACATAGACACACAGACGGACAGACAGACGGATGTAGCTTAATCGACTCTGAAAGTGATTCTGAAACGACTGGTATTCCTTAAGGTGGGTGTAGGACCCATATTTTTGGGTGTTACAAATATCAGCACAAATTTTAACACAATTATTCTAAATTTACATTTACACAAGGTTTACATGGACACACAGACGGACAGACAGACGGACGGATGTAGCTTAATCGACTCAGAAAGTGATTCTGAGCCGACTTAAGGTGGGTGTAGGTCCCATATTTTTAGGTGTTACAAACATCAGTAAAAATTTCAACACAATTATTCTAAATTTACATTTTACAATTTATATATAATTTTTATATAATTAATTTGTCGTACAATTTCTTAAATATGTATAACGAAACAATTTCGATGTATGAAACAACGAAGCCTTCATACTATATATGAAATTTTTCGTATACATTAGGCATAGATTATTGAACGTGTAGTTAAACTTGGAAGCCCAAAAAAATACTTTACTTTATTTCAACTAGATCACAGTGAACAGAGTGAACAAACATGAATTATCACTTATATTGAAAATTTTCAATATTTTTAGTAAATTACACCTTTTAAAAAAATTTTAAAGTGAAATAATTTTATAAAATTATTTGAACGCCAAACTATTACTTTTAGAGAAATACAAATCTATGTGGATTTTAGATTATTTTAAAATTTCTTAAAAAAAGTCAAAATTTTCCAAAAAATTCACAGTTTATAGATCATAACTCTCTAGGAAACAAAAGGGAGCAAGATAACTCCTAAACTATGCTATAGACAGAACCCTCCGCTACACGTGTATACCCCCTTTATATGTAAACTTATAGCAGCCCAGTTCTGTCAGGGAGTACTAGATAAATTTTTCTCACCCAAAGTCGTATATTTTGTGCACAATTTAAGAAAGTTTTCAAAAAATTAAATTTTCAAAGTGGGCGTGGAGCCACACGACGTTATGACGAACTTTAATAGATAGAAAAAACACACATTTTTCATTCATATAAACATTTTGGAAAAAGATTGGTGAAATAGAAATGGAGGGCGTGGCACCTCCCATATGCAGTAATTACTAAACGTACTGGAATCAAGTATTCTGTACTTGGTTTAAGGGAAAACGTACTAGTGAAAACTCTCCGTATTGAGTACGGATTACTCAGTTATTTTTTGAGTGTAATTTTAAAATAAAGTATTAAATATTTCTCTCTTTTCTTCTATTGATATTTATTTATTACCTAAAACGTTCGTTGTTCCTATAAAATATTCCAATTACAAATTGAGGATATTCCAATTAGTTAAAACAGTTGCAATAATATCTACAATTTTCTTTGAATTCATTTCCCCCAGAAACTACAGCTGGTCGGATGTTCATGTAACTTATTCATAGATTTCATATAATGACGAAAATACTTAAGAATTCAGAAATATTTGAACTTAAATATAAATTTTTTTTCTAAGAAAATCAATAGTGAATTCTTTTTTGGAATTTGTTTAGCATTTTAATAACGAGGGAAACACTGACTGAAATTTGCATTTTGAACATTTTCAGTAAGTGCTGATAGATCAAGATGTTCATATAACGATTTCGCTTCGAATGTCTTTTTATGTAATGTGTTAAAAATAGAAGTAACTTCACTGCACTTCGAAGATTATCTATGCAAAGTTATTGTATAAATAGTATGGGACGAAGATGTTACTGCTTATTGAAATTTAACTCAAAATGTATATAACCCTCAAGGCCTCAAGCCGCATTTTGAATAATGCTAATCTTGTAGTTAATGAGCGATATATTAAGGGCTGAAGTCAGGCATGGAAACAATACATGTAATAAATTTGGATTTTCTTTTGAAAAAAAAAACAATTTAATTTATTAAAAAACTTTAATTAAAATTATTTTAATGTTAATCTAGACGTGTGATGATTAGAAAAATGTAACAGAGCATTGCTAACAATTTAATGATTCATATATTAACCTGGTTTTTCAATTTCTATGCAGTACACTTTTTAGAAATTATAATAGTAGTATTCTGTTTATTTACAGAAAAAAATGCATAACTAGAATGAATTTTGTAATAAATAGTATGAACATGACATTTTTCTCATTTCATTCAAAATATGAACAGTTAGTTTTATATTATTATTCATACTAAAAACTTTCATACTTTTAAAAAAATGTAGACTATAGTCGTTCTGGTCTCCCAGATATTATAATTTTAATATTCACTTCTTAGGGTTGGTGCCTCGCCGACAAGCCCCTCAATTTTTTTCCCCACGCCACGCCCTCTATGTCTATTTCACCAATCTTTTTCCAAAATGTTTATATGAATGAAAAATGTGTGTTTTTTCTAGCTATTAAAGTTCGTCATAACTACGATTTTTAATATTTATTTTGTATGTGGGTGTGGCCCCACGCCCACTTTGAAAATTTAATTTTTTGAAAACTTTCTTAAATTGTGCACAAAATATCCGACTTTGGGTGAGAAAAATTGATCTAGTCTATAGTCTAGTCAATAGTCTAGTCTATAGTCTAGTCTATAGTCTAGTCTATAGTCTAGTCTATAGTCTAGTCTATAGTCTAGTCTATAGTCTAGTCTATAGTCTAGTCTATAGTCTAGTCTATAGTCTAGTCTATAGTCTAGTCTATAGTCTAGTCTATAGTCTAGTCTATAGTCTAGTCTATAGTCTAGTCTATAGTCTAGTCTATAGTCTATTCTATAGTCTAGTCTATAGTCTAGTCTATAGTCTAGTCTATAGTCTAGTCTATAGTCTAGTCT